AAACCCAACTCCCACATCGACTAGAGATTAGGCAATTGAATAGTATATAAGTGGAAAGCAACCCTCACTTTACAAGCCAGTTTTGTAGGGTTGAGTTAGGCTTAATCCACTATTCTAACACTCTAAATCATTAATTATAATACTATTAAATATTACTTATGAATTTATTTTTATAAGAAAAAAATTTACAAGATTTTTACAAATTTTTACAAAAAAAAGTCCTACGATTATCATAATCGTAGTAAAATCTGTAAAAAATTATTATAATATTTTATAAAAAAAGAATTGTAAAAAATATTTATAAATATTTTTTGCAAAAAAATTTACGGAAAGTTCTCGTAGATATTTTGGAATGGAAGTATAACATTCGTTAAGTATTTAGTTGTTGAGTTAATTGTGGACTAGGGAGTTTTATGAGAAATTAATTATTTTAGTTTTCATGTTTTTACATTTAAATGTGGATTAGAGAGTTTTATAGAAATTAATTATTTCAATTATCATGTTTTTATGTTTTTCACTTTTATTTCTATACATTTTGTGATATGAAGAAGTGAGAGAATTAGAAACTGTTGAAGATCATCTCAAAGATTCACATTCTATAATTCTATATCAAGTGTTCATTAAGGTAAGGAAAAGTGAATAGTCTTATTTTAAATATGTGATATATGTTGGGATATTGAAATTGATCCTCAATCTCTTTCTCTTATGTATAGTGATCCTGAATTCCAATCATAATTTATGATTCTATGCTTTATGTTATTCTCTAATATTTTAATTGTTGTTATTGATTGATATGTATATATGATTGCATGTAACTACTCATCTTGTGAATCTTAGATTGTTTTCCTATTAAAAATCTTAGGAAACGAATGTTAAGTGTGACTAAAAGTTACAAAATTGCACCCGAACACCCCTAATGGAAAAAAGAAATATTGTTAATATGTGGGGATCAGTTAAAATAACTTATTTTTATTCATCAATTCCTATATATTAAACATAAATTTTTATTTTGTGGGATTATAATTTTGACTATAATTTTTTTTAATAAAAGAATTTGTAGAAATTTTTTAACTTCTTATATAATTTAATTTTTATTTACCATAATTATTTATAATTAAATATTAATATTTTAAATAAATAATCAATAAATAAAAATAAAATCTTTATTACTATACAAATTATTTATTATAAACTTAAAATATAATCTATATGTTTAAAAATATTTATGTATATTAATTTTAAATATAATTTATTTAATTATTTTTTATTCTAAAATACTAGTAAGGATTAAAAAAAAATTGCGTATGTATAAAGACGTAATTTAAATAATAATAATAACAACAACATTATTATAATTACTTGTAGTAGTATAATGTATAATTTTTACAGTGATGGACTGAAAATTGGCGCAACAAGAAGAGAGACCAATGCCATCAAGCACTCAAAAACGAAACTCGATAGGGACGACCACTACACGTATGTATAAATATATATTTAAATATATGTTTTTTTAGTAATATATATTATTCAAATATTTGTATTTTTATTAAAAATTAAGTACATTAAATTATATTTAATTAGTGTTCTCCAATATTAATGGCACATAAAAATAAAGTTAACTGGTTTCAAATTGTAACGCATTCGATTGTTGAATTATTGAACTAAATAACCAATTCAATACTCCTGTAATTGTTGAGCCGTTACATAATAAATTATAAAACTCTATATTTTACTTAATTAAATTCAATATAATTAATATTTATATACATATATAATATAATTTTAAATAAAAATACATTTTACCCCCATTTTACAAAAGATCACGGATAACCTTCAACCCCATATGCTATATACTCATAAAAGAGACAATAAAAGAGTTTGAAATAACATTAATAAATGAAAAATTGTCATAAAAACTCTCGAATAGAGAATGTTACATTTGTAAAATATAAACTATAACTAAGAAATACAAAAAATAAGTCATTTGCAAAATTGTTAAAAAAATCAAATCATTAACATAAGTCTTAAACATGATGAAAATTGACAAAACATGAAATCTTAACTAAAATTCTGATATCATTTTATCAAAGTTCAAATATCACCAAACATAAGGCTAATAATTAAGTCTCATTTTTAATTAAAGTAAATTTGTTATATAATATTATATCATTTATTTAGTAAAAATTATATTTAATTAAGATTGATAAACCTATTTTGGTCCCTTATAATCTTTTTTTGTTTTAATTTAGTCCCTCATTAATTTTTTGTCTCAATTTGATCCCAAACTAATTAATTGGTTTCAATTTAGTCCCAAATTAATTAATTAGTTTCAATGTGGGACTTCCGTCCAAATTATTTAAACGAAGTTAACTTTTGGCCACGTGGATGCCACGTAGATGCATACGTGGCATCCACGTGGATGAGAATTTTTTTTAAAATACCTGGACCCGGAACGTCCCGTTCTGAAACCGAAACGGGCCGTTCTGGTTGCAAAATTAAAACACCACCAGCGAAGCAGAACGGGCCGTTCTGAAACCAGAACGGCCCGTTCTGCTTTCAAAACGTGACATTCTGAAATCAGAACGGGCCGTTCTGGTTTTAGAACGCCCCGTTTTGGATTCAGAACGACCCGTTCCAAAACTGTGAATAAAATATTCTTTACTTATTACAAAAATATACTTTTACAAAAATATAAATATATAAGATCAGATATATATTTATAATTAATATACTTATATTTTTGTAAAAGTATATTAATATATAACAAGTTATATTTATCAAATTATTAGTTTATCTATAAATATATTAATAATATTATTGATATAATATCGAAAATTATAATATACGTTAATTTGAATAGATAAATAATTATTTAATTTTAAAACATTATATATATATATAT